TTACATACTACTGGTAAACATGAATTAAAAAAAAAAAAAAGACCTGGGGAAGTTTGAAATGATACAGGTCTCACTATGTGCTTGTGAGTCAATCAAAAAGATGTCAATTTTTATAAAAATGAACCCCCAAAAAAATTAACCAATTTTTGCAACATTTTCATGGTATTTCGCCTCAAATTACTCATTACTATATGCCCAGATGTTTTACTTTTGAGGTTCATATGTACTTTCCATTATTTACAAAGCTGAATATTAGATTCCTGTTATACTGTGATACAGTATTTTTATATCCGATTTTTATAATTATATATATTTCTAATTAGTTTGATTAGATTAAATTACATTAGATTTTCTGCTTAATTGACATGAAATAATATCACAATCCCAAAAATGGCCCTAAATGGCTCTTAATTTTCTTAAAACAAATTCTTTAAAAAAAAATCTTTTGATTCTTCCCGGCTTGAACATTTCCTAGAAACACAAAATATCCAAAAAATATTGTTCGATTTTGTATAATTGAATTAGATTGTATGAAAATTATATTATTTTAAAGGGGTCATATGATGTTACTAAAAAGAACATTATGTTGTGTATTTGGTGTAATGAAGTGGCCTACAGTGAGCAGCGGCGGCCTATAGTGAGCAGAGGCCGGGGGCTAGAGTGAGCAGAGGTGGCAGGCTTGATAACGGTGCGGCCGGCGGATTCAACGAAGGAGGCTTGCAGCAACCACATGTGACGACCCCAGGCTGGACTCCGCTTCGTCCACGGTGAAATCTCTTTGGATTTGAGACTTTAGTCTTTGCAACTTTACAGATCTTCTTTATGCACCAAGAGCTTGTAACACTCCAAAGAGAAAGGAAAAATTTAAATCGCATCATATGACCCCTTTAAATCCATCTTTTTTATCATATTGTGAATGATTCAACCACACCTACTTAATTTATTTTTTATTTATTTATGCTTGTATTTTTTTTTTTAAATGTCTCTTCAATTATTTAGTCCACTTAAACGCCTCCCCTCTCTAGTGACTGCAATCTTACATTCAGATCTGCCTCCATCCAATTGATGACCGATTTGTACATCAAAATATGAAAGAAAATATCTGTTGATACTTTCATCGACTAAACATTCACACATAACCAAGGCTAGGAAGCCAGGCTGTGCTTGCAATGTCACCTCATTCTGCTAATGAAAGTCCCATCAGAGGGTGTGAGAATATGAAGCTGTTATCAATGCGCCCTGCTAGCACCAAAATTAGCATCACAGTTTCGCTATACGCACAACATGTAAAATAAACTAGTCGCCAAGTAACAAGAGCTGGATTAAATTAGTGATTGGTAGTAGTATCAAAACAGCATAGTTGACAGATGCAGGTCAGCTATGTGGAAAGTTAACAGAAAAGGCACAATTAAATTTCCTGTGCACATTATGCTCTCTACATTCTGTGTACTTGCTCAAGATATTGTGAATCTTATGATTGTTAAGCGGCCTAATCATCACCGATCAAATTCACTGCAGATCTAAACTGTAAACAGCTTTATTTGAGGCATGATGTCTTGACTTTAAAAATAACTGAATGAGAATAAATAATAAATATAGGCAATGAAAGAAACTAAAGCTGAACCAACTATCCTAAAACACAACTGGCTTGTTGATTTCCTCTCATAACATCCTTTTTAGAATGTCAACCATTTCTGACAGACTTTCTGACATTTTACCGAAATCTGTGGTTTGCAAATGTAACGTTAAAAAGTTGAAACTCCACAAGAAGTATGTTCATTTGGTGACAACTGAATTTGGTTTTCATTAGAAACTTTTAACTTATTTCTCCCATAACTATCCATTGTCCAATAAAAACAAATGTGTCATCAAGCTCTGACGCAGAAATACATTTTAGGAAAAAGCTAAATGCCAATTGTTTTGAGAAGTTAAAAGCCTGGGTTACTTCCTTAAATACAATGGACAGCAACACAGTGCTCACGTTTCTTTTGGTTTGTTTTCAAATAAAGAGCGTTATTCATTATACCCAAACATCCGCCCGCTCTCCGGGAGCCGTGCAGCGAGACATGTGAGAGGAATACTAACTAAAACTTTCTCTAAACCGCCACTGAACAGCTACTTTACCAGCCTGACAACTTGAATGGAAGATTTCCTGGCAAGTCTCTAAAGTGAGAAGTTGAGGGAACAAGGAGAACAGCCCCTCCGGGAACCTTTGAACCAAAATGTCACATCACATCCCGAGCCCGGTAGCCTCCGGTACGGTTAATAAAGACTTACCGGAGTGTTGGCCCGATGCAGTTAGTGTCTGTGCTCTCAATCTCACGCAGGATTCTCTCGTGCTCTGCCGCTGTCTCGGCGCTCGCCATCTTCCATAACCTCGCGTCCACCGTCTATGCTCGCGACGCGCTCTTGAGAACACAGCGCCCGCCGGAGAGTGAGAGAGGGGAAAATACTGGAGCTTTTACTTCCGGTATTACTGCTGAACGATTACTCACGGCAAATTAAATTTTAGAGTGAACAAAACAACATTGTATTTATCTGTAATGCTTTAATGAATACATATGGAGGAGGCATTTAATTTAAAAGTCCCTTTTTATTATACAATTTTGAACATTTTATACTAGCAAAGTATAAAACGACAAATAAAGTCAGGCAATTTAATGAAGAAAAGATGTGTTTATATTAATGACTGAATATATTATACTACATGAGAATATTGATGTTAATTATTACAACCTCGTAAAATCAACTCAAAACACAAACCCTATATTGCAAGACAGCGACATCTTGTGCTTCATGTACCAAACACATTGTGTTAAAAGATATTAATAGTAGACATCAGCGATGTAAAGAGTACCTGAAAACCATACTTGAGTAAAAGTACAGGTACCTTACAGTGAACATTACTCCACTTCAAGTCACCAATTTCAAAACGTAAGAGTAAAAGACTTGAGTATCTGATTTTAACAGTACTTAAGTATTTATACTAAATATAGGCTCAAAGATGCACTAGTCAAAGAGACATGCCAGTGAAAAACAAGAAAGGGTTGATTTGTGAGAAGACGTTGAAATAAAACTGAACACCTCAAAATTGCAAAAAAATAAATAAATAAAAATAGAAAAAAATCAGAAAGGTCTCTTCAGTATAACAGCTAAATAAAATAATGTTGATTTTTTTTTTTATTAGCAACTTTTACTCCCTACTTCAATAAATTTTTTAATAAGTATCTAGGTACTCTTTACTCCACTACATTTGTGTTTCAATTACACATTGCATTATACATGGAAAGAACCTCCGAAATGTCTCTTCAGTAGGCTATAACAGCTAAATAAAATAATGTTGATTTAGTTTTTTGGTTTTTGGTTAATTTATTTACTGAACTTTTACAATAATAACAGGATACGAATACAGGAGAATAGTGAAGAAATAATGTTAAGTAAAATTAAAAAGTCAAAGCTTTCCTGCACTGGATGAGCTGGGTTCGGGCTCATTGCCATTGCTAAGAAATTCGCATTCATGTAAAGTAGCCGTTTTGACAAGTTTGGGTGAGTAAACCACAAGATATAGCCTAGTACTTTCAGTGCCCTGTAGTAGGCGATATCACTTCTTTTGTAGCAGAAATAAACTGCTGCAGAAAAAGCTAGGTACCATGTATAATGCAATGTGTAATTGCAACACAAATGTAGTGGAGTAAAGAGTACAGATACTTATCCAAAAATGTATTGAATAGGGAGTAAAAGTTGCTAATATATTTGATACTCACTAAAATCACAGAGTATCCAAAAATATACTCATGTACAGTAATTAATTGCATTTACTCAAATACTTTACGTTACACCTCTGGTAGACATGGACATTATTCAGAATCAGGACATAATGTAACAATGTAAAAAATAATAATAATTTGTATCCAGTCATTTTATTGCATCATCATAATAGCAAACGTCTAATTTTATTTATTTTCAATTCCACAATGCGTAATACATAGATATATATGCATATCTATGGTGCTATAGGTGTCATTAATTGCTGAATAATGACCATTGTCCATAGCAACACTCTGTAGCTGACCACTCACCCATAAAACAAAAATAAAAATAATAAAATTATTTCAGCTCATCTATATTTCATGTATTCCATGTATTCATTATTTGGTCAAATAAATTAGGTGAGCTTAAACGAGTTTTCTATTAATTTATTTAGGGCCAAAACTTTTTAATAAAAACAACAACAATATCTTTGTTTATTTTTACGTAGTTTTTACTTTCTTTCTTGGTTTGTTATTAGTTTAGTGCTCAGTATCCTGCACTGTGTGTGAGCTGGAAGTGAATTGCAGTTGCGCTGCTACTCCACATAACACGGGTGCGTGTCAGGACAGCAGCAGGAATCCAAACAGGGCCAGTGAGTCCAAACATCCAGACACCCAGATCACCCGGAAGACTGTACGTAGGACGCCGACAGACACAAGAAATCGGTAGGTAACTCGATATCTGACTCGATAGTTGGAATATTAGTAATTAAATAATGAACGAAGCGATGTTGAAAACACTAGAAAGTAGGACTGAAACTTTGAAATGTTAGTAACCCGCGGTCGTCGGACGATGTAACCACTTTTTAAGGGTTTGTGGTGGCACTGAGCCTCAAAGTTGTAAACAGAAGTTTCCCGTTGATCCGTTTTTATTTGTGACCGTATGAGAATACAACTTTATCTTAAAATGTAATAATTATGGTTGTTATCATGATAAGAAACTCGACAAACATATAAGTAGTTGGGCATTTGCAGAACTAAATTTAAAAAGCCTGGTATTGGTAATACAGTTATTGTTATGTTTATTGTTGGATAATGCATTTTATTTCTCTGAAATCAGCTCTGAGAAATATGTCTGTGTCAGTTTACACTATATACACTACTGTCGCGGCGGGAAAGTCTGAGTTCAGCCCATAACGCTGTTTGTTTTGTTGTTGTTGTTGTTGTTGTTGTTGTTGTTGTTGTTGTTGTTGTTGTTGTTGCCGTTGTTGCCGGTGGCTCAAGAGTGAAATGCTGCGCAACAGTGTTGCCAGAAGTATTGTACTGTTTGCTTCATCTTCACCAGTAGCTTATAGTTATATGGTTGATCCTGACTCTGTTCTTAGTTGATGTATTTGAGAATAAGCTAGAACATACAGCCATGGCTTAGAGACAGAAAAAGTTAGTACAGTAGTCAATGTCTCCATTTTCTTAAACCGCAAATTTATAAATGTGCATAAATGAACTTGTAATTCACCGACTTTTTCCATTAACTTTGTGCAGTTTAATCATGGCACAAATGTTCAGCATCTCTGACAATGAGTCGGACACAGAGACATCGGAAGACTGTGAGGACTCGGACCTGACAAAAAATAACAGTGGATCACCGCAGAAAACAAACCATGATCTGGCTGTGCCTGATAGGCTGAAAGGTGAGTCAGTCTCAAGGGCCTGTAGGATAATAACAAGAACATACGTCATTTCTGTTGTATCCTGGATACACAGCACAGCAGACCACAATTACAAGCAAATACAAGAATGTAGTGCACTGCTCAAAGTCTCAAACATAATTTTTCATTTGAATAAACTCTGTGTTGGCATTGGTTTTAGTTTTTAAAGCCAATAATGAAACAAATTTATTTCACATGAAGAAATACTTTGAATGTATTCAAAGTATTTGCATAGTATTTGTATTCAGCATTCATACGTCAGAATGCTGTTCATAGACTTCAGTTCAGCATTCGAGACTAAGGTCTGATCAGATCAGTCAAGTGTCATTCAATATCAAATGTCGTTGTAGGAGAACAACTAGGGAGACACAGGAATCTTTCGATGAATGATGAGAACCTGCTGGAGACTGGGGCAGCAGATGAAGGCGATTTGGTTGGAAGTGATCCATTCAGGCCTAGATCTCGCTCGGCTCCTCCTGCTTTGTGGGCAGCTAAGAAATATGGTCGACAGCTAAGGAGAATGAGTGATGAGTTTGACATCCTCCTTGATAAAGGGGTAAGGAAACTGGACTGTCAAAGAAATATATGCTATAAACTAAATATCTGTAAGCTACTTATTAAACAAGTGTTTTTCTTATCTTATATCTCTTACAGATGAAGAGGGTGAAGAGTGCAGGAACAACACGTCAGATGCAGCAGTCACCCAGCTGGTTCGCTTTCCTTTGGAGTCACAAAGAGTCTGATGCGGAGTCTCGCCCCGCAGAGTGACTGACAGTGAATGAATGATGGAAGAAGAGAGAAAAGAGGACTACTGTACATAACAACTGGTGGCGGAAAAAAAGGATGCACTGCTGTGAAGTGAAGGAATAAGTCCATTGACTGGTTTTAAACCTTTTTCATGAACTGCACTGAGACCATTGACTGTTGAAAAGCATGATCGGTTTCGCACTGGCATGTGCTATCCCACAAAGATGACAAAAAATGGAGAATCTCCACATTTCCTTAAGCTCTGGGAATATTATGCAGTAAATCTCATGAATGTGAGAAAGCTGAATATCCGCAGACTTTCTGTCACTCTGCCACATCAGTTTTTCATATTCACCATATTCATATTCAGATGCAATATTTTTTAACAAAAGCACATTAAAAAGAACTTAAAGGTATTTTATTGTACATCATCTGTTAAATGAATTTTTAACTACGTTTTTAGACCGTCAGCTGTTTAAAATCTGTAAAGGGACTTTGGTCACTTTGAAGAGTCATCTTGCTTTATTACCATCTGAGTCATAAAAATCTCTTGGAATTGTCTACAACCAATAAGCAAAAGAGTCCAAAAACCAAGAATGGGTCTAAACACCCAAGAGAGCAGGGGACATAATCGTTACTGGTATTACTTGAAAATGACAGATTTTCAATGCCTTATAATTTTTTTTTTATTAATTAAAAACATTTTATTGTGATGTTATTTTGTTATTGTTTGTAACCGATAAATAAATAAAAATAAATCACTTTTAGCACGAGTTGTCCTTCTTTCAAAAGCGTAAAATGTAAGTACTGTTCTTCATGTAATAGAATTTGGCAATATATATGAAACTGCAGTTTACTTGTGCATTAGTCATACTCTACTCCTTTGTTCTATCTGAGGTGCATCAGAAATTGCAAACAGAGTTTGGACATACAGCTTAAAAAACACTCCTGACAGCATCTCATAATTCCCTTTAAAATTATCAAACACAAGATACAATAGCAAGCTAACCATGAAATAAAGAGCCATGAAATTTGTAAAGCTGAACAACCTCGGAACTTCTGCAAGTGAAAAAATAGAAATAATAAAAGTTTTTATCAATGAGTTGTCTTTAAGACACTTGTGTTGGATCCCAGCAGAACTTCTCCCCACAATCAAGAGCGGAGAGCCTTTCCATGTCCTCCTCGCTAATCTCGAAGTCAAACAGACGCCCATTCTCCACCACACGTTCTGGCTGACATGATTTTGGCAGTACTGGAATGTTCTGTTGTACGGCCCACCTCAGCAACACTTGGGCGGATGTCCTCCCATACTTTTTTGCTAAATCCAGAACCACATAGTCTGATAGTAGAAGCCCTGTTCCAAGAGATGAGTATGCCTGAAAACACACCCCTCTTTCCTTACAAAGTGCCCTCAGGTCCTTTTGAACCAGCTCTGGGTGAAACTCTACCTGAAGAACTGCGGGGGTCACTTTACAGCTCTTCAGCAGCTCCCACACATGTTCTACTGTGTAATTAGAAACCCCAATAGCCCGAAATTCTCCTTCTGAGTAGAACTCTTCCAAGACTGTCCAGCTTTGAGCTCGGTTTTCAGGGTTTCGTTTATCCCCCCCGGCAGCCCCTGAGTACCTGGCCAATGAATAAGATATAGGTCAATGTAGCCCAATCCCAACTGCTCCAGGCTCCTCAGGCAACCATCTCTGGCTTTGGACCCCTGATCTTTGGGACCCTAGTAATAAAAACATCTTCTCGTGAGAGGCCATGCTTGGGTAGCAGGCGACGGAGGGCGTGACCTAATTGTGCTTCATTATGGCACACTGCAGCAGTGTCAAAGGCACGTTAACCAGCTGTCAAAGCCGCATCCACAGCATTATAAGAGTCCTCTTGACCCTGCAAATGGAAAGTGCCCAGCCCCAACAGAGGCATCCAAGTCCCAGTGTTGAGAAGTACAGATGGCTGAGGGTCAGTCATTTGGAGACAAGGAGGAAGCCTTAATTTGGAGACTATGAGTGCATAAAGATGAAGTGATGAAGCATGTGCATTAAGAATAATATATTTAAAATGCACTGAGATTATAAAGTTGGCGTAACAGAGACATAAACCCACCCTGCAGGTTTTTTGAAAATGAAAAGACAAACAGTCGACAGTGACTTCAACACGGTCAAGGTTCAATGATCTGTTCCACTTAAACAACAATACTCATTTATCTACGTTCTACCTGTAAGTTAACGTGTAGGAGATAAACTTTCTCAGACAGCCTTATCTTATGTCACTACTCTACAACCCGCTCAACCTAACTTGATCATGTGACAAAAAAGGGGCGGAACATATTTCTGTGGTTGGAACTCTCGTCACCTAAACTTCTTATTCTATTAGGGAAATATCATATACATAAAGCAAAATGTATATCGACTGTACCAAATGGTAGACTATTTTCCACTGATCTCAAGATTTTTTATGACTCTCTAACTTCCATACAGAACAATCGAAAAAAGCTGTAAAGACATCTAGGCTGCTTAAATGGATACTTGATGTATTAGATACATAATTGATATGTGATCTAAGATGCAGAATTTTGGTTTTATTGTTTTACAGATTTAAATGTCTTTGTATTCCCCTATTGTTATCTCAATAAAAAAAAAACTCTCGTCACCATAGCAGCGGTTTTGCGACTCAATGGATGTTGCATTTGACCAATCAGAGTTTGTTTTCATGACCTGAGGGCGGGACCACTTGACAGACCCGCCCCGGTCTCTTCACTTTAGCCATTTTCAACGTTCTAATTCTAAAACAGTTGGCGCGAAATATTTGAGTCAGTAACTATTTTATACTTCTGCCTCTGGGTGTTGTTTATTAACCATGTCATTTCCATTTATAATTAAAAAACGATTCTATATTGGTTATTTGATAATTGATAATTTGTCCTAGCAAGCTGGAGTTGTTTAGTAACTTGGATTTCTGTAAACTATACACGTATAAACATAAAACATGCATTTATAAAATAGGTAATACCATACTTCTTGACTTCAATACAGAACAATCGAAAAGCTGTAAAGACATCTAGGCTGTTGAAAAAGATACTTATTAGAAACATGATTGATATGTGATCTAAGATACAGAATTTTGGTTTTATTGTTTTACAGATTTAAATGTCTTTGTATTCCCCTATTGTTATCTCAATAAAAAAAAAACTCTCGTCACCATAGCAGCGGTTTTGCGACTCAATGGATGTTGCATTTGACCAATCAGAGTTTGTTTTCATGACCTGAGGGCGGGACCACTTGACAGACCCGCCCCGGTCTCTTCACTTTAGCCATTTTCAACGTTCTAATTCTAAAACAGTTGGCGCGAAATATTTGAGTCAGTAACTATTTTATACTTCTGCCTCTGGGTGTTGTTTATTAACCATGTCATTTCCATTTATAATTAAAAAACGATTCTATATTGGTTTTATAAATGACAGAAACTGTCATTTATAAAATAATTGATAATTTGTCCTAGCAAGCTGGAGTTGTTTAGTAACTTGGATTTCTGTAAACTATACACGTATAAACATAAAACATGCATTTATAAAATAGGTAATACCATACTTCTTGTTTAATATTTTTCCAATGAAGGTTCCATTTATACATAAAAGAGTAACAATGTCAATCCAGGCCTTTTCCTTCCCTGTACCTGAGACCAGGTTTTTTCAGGCTGGACAACAAGTCTTCAAATTCAAGTTAAGACGAGGAGACATGAGCAGGCAAGACCATGCAAGCTTGTTTTTTCTCTTTAATATAAAGTATGCTATATTATTTTGAATGCCTTTACCCTTTTGATATTAGACACAAAAAGAAGTAATTTCTCTTGAAATGTCTGATTTGGATATTGTCTTTTATAGTGTTAATGAGGAAGACATGCAGTATGGGGTGCTAGTCAGTGAGGAGCTTGAGGTTTTTTAAGATCAGGATTAACATTTTGGATTCGATTTAGTAAACCTTCCTAATCTGATTTTGTTTTGCAGAATGCTGTGCGTGCAGTACTTGCAAACCTGGATGGTCTTCACCCCTTCACCACCCAGCATTTCAACATTTTTCCCTGTATGCTTCTCTGAATATAACTTTAAAGGGGTATTTTACCTAAAAATTCAGGTAAATTTGTTTAAACTGTTACCTTTCTTCTGAAGAATACAGAAGACATTTTGAAGAATGTCAGGACCCAGACAGTTCTGGTTACCGTTGACTTCCATTGTATGGGGGAAGAAAACACTAAGACATTTTTTTAATCAAATTTTTTGTGTTCTACAGAAGAAAAAAGTCTTACATGAGGTTAAGTAAATGATGACCAACGTTTCATTTTTGTTGGACTATCCCTTTAGACGTATGAAAGAGCTCAGCAAACAGGGAGTCTTGACTTTTGACTCTTTTTTTCTTTACATATTTTTCGTTATAATAAAAACTGAACTGCTGTGAATAAAAATTAATTCGGAGTCAGTTAAACTAAAAGTGATAACTATAATTTATACAAATACCATTACTTCCCTTGACAACACCCACACTTACAGACAAACGTAAATAGGAACAAGTGTCCAAAATGAAGTTCATGAAGGAGGGTGTAAAACTGTCTCCGTATCCATTCCTTATCACACTGAATGTGGAGTATCGTGAACCAGCCTTTCCATATGCAGGTGGGAGTCCTCCCAATATCACCCTTTCAGTATGACACATGCTTTAAAAGAACTTTGTGAGTAAATGAATGAATGAGGGATTCATTTCTTTGACTCTTGTTCAACAGTGAAAAATACCAATCCCTGGAACACACCGGTGAGTCTCTCTCTTATGTTGAAGTTACGTTATGTTGAAACTGTTGAAATTAATTTGTAGTTCATTTCTCATTTGAACCTGTAAAAATTCCATACATAATGTTTTGCCATGGTGATTGTTCTTGATTCATATTATTGTGATTTTCACAAGCTGAAAAAAGTAAATGTAAATGCCCACAGAAGAAACTGTCTATATCGAGAAGTCAAAGGTGTGCTAGTGAGCCAAATGAGAACAATCCAGACCACTGCAATGGATCATCCAGAAGAGGGCACTCTGAACCAACACAAGCTTTATAAACAAACCACAGAGTGCTTTCAGTAAGTGTGTGGGTGTGCTGCTTTTTTATATGCTGCATGAGGTAATAAATCAATGTCAAGTCTTGTCCTTCACCTATGCAATCTGTCTTTCCATCAAAGTGTATTTAGTTATTTTTATTCCAACACTTGTAGTCTCATATCTGTACTTCCTCAAAGTCCTTGCTGGATGCATAATGTCACAATAAGACATAAATGGAAATAAAATAATAAAACAATAGAATAGGCCAAAACTTCATCTCATGGCTCATATACAGTAAATAGATGCCAATCGTTTAAAAGGCCATTCAGAGTGATGATGAAACCAAGCCATACAATTACAGGATGGTGTTTTTAAATTCTTTTCATGGGACCTTGCTGTCAGACAGACACAAGGAGACATTTGTGGGATTTTCCACTTTGTTTTCAGTGATGGTTGATAAGCTGATAAGACTGCTGACCCGAGTGATGAGGTGTTATGAAACAGCAGAGCAGAGGAGCCTGAGCATGGGGCGCCATCGCAATGAAGCTGTCACTCAATCAGCAGGCAGGACATAATAATTTAGCTGTTAAAATAACATCCCATCTCATCCAATTCCTCCACATAGAAAGAGATGCACAAATCAATAAGCCAGCGGAGAACAGAATTTGACATGTACTTTTAATTCCGTCATGTCCTCATTTTGTTTGTGGTGGGCGATGAGAAAATTATGATGGTTCATTCTGGCGAGGACTCCAGTAATTCAGTGGAGTTCACACAACTCACCTGCAGTCTCGAAAGTAGATGTCTTTTCACAGGGAATTTGTGTGTATGTGTGCAAGCCCTCAGGCTCATACGCTTGCAGACTTGCTTAAAACAGGTCTTTTGTTTTTATGTTAAATGTCCTGGAAAAGGGAACAGGAATTAGATATGTCAAAAAAAGAGCCTCCGCATAGAAAGAGATGCACAAATCAATAAGCCAGCGGAGAACAGAATTTGACATGTACTTTTAATTCCGTCATGTCCTCATTTTGTTTGTGGTGGGCGATGAGAAAATTATGATGGTTCATTCTGGCGAGGACTCCAGTAATTCAGTGGAGTTCACACAACTCACCTGCAGTCTCGAAAGTAGATGTCTTTTCACAGGGAATTTGTGTGTATGTGTGCAAGCCCTCAGGCTCATACGCTTGCAGACTTGCTTAAAACAGGTCTTTTGTTTTTATGTTAAATGTCCTGGAAAAGGGAACAGGAATTAGATATGTCAAAAAAAGAGAACAAATAGATCTTTCTCTTTTTCAGGGAGTCCCCTTCCTCGGCCAATGGTGCAGAAGCGATGGTTTGTGGCAGTGAGGTTAGTGTATGAACGTGTGTTTTGGGGAGCCAGTTTTTCTCTCTATCACTCACACACACACACACACACTGTCTCAATTGTTAATCATTTTTAATTGCCCCTGCAGGGTGCACAATCTGACATATTAGCTCATTCAGGTGGCATAACTACTCCATTATGTTAATTATAGCAGCTGATAAAAATAAAAAACCTGTTTTATGTACTTTTCATTTGTGAGCACATCCATCATTGGTACGTTCTTCATTTCTTTGTTGTAGATTCATGCTGACTCACATGTGACTTGTCTACCAGCACCAGATGTGCATGATGGTAAATTGCATATTCAACATATCAGTGTCTATTCATTTCTCTTTACTCATTTTTAGTGATCCAACCCAAATAATGTAAGCAGAATTGCGCCTTTAGAATCGCACAATTCTGCTCACAATTTTTTTTTTCTGTTATTAGTCATCAAAGCACTATTCTTTTTTAGGTTTAAAGGGACAGTTCACCCAGAAATTAAAATACTTCATCATTTACTCACCCTCGTGTCATTCTAAAGCTGTATGACTTACTTTCTTCTGTTAAGCACAATAGAAGATATTTTGATGAATGTTGGTAAGCAAACAGTTGACGGTAACCATTGACTTCTATAGTATGTCAAAAAAGATAATATAGAAGTCAAGGGCTACCGTCAACTGTGATGGGTGAGTAAACGATGACAACATTTTCATTTTTGAGTGAACTATCCCTTTAACCATTAAATAATCAGATAGTTAGTAGTCAACCGATATGGGCTTTCAATGGCCGATGCTAATACCAATAGAAGAATTCAGTGCTAGCAAATGAGATGTACTCAAACTAGCTGAAATTAAATCTTATTTTACACAACATTTACTCAAAATTCACAAACAAATGACAATCAAGTTTATTATTCATTGACAAAGTCATCAGTAGAATCTAAGTGGTGGGCAAACATTTAACAAAGTTACTGGTTAATTTCAAAATGATGAAATATTGTCCAGTATCAGTCTATCAGTTGAAAATAATAATAAAATAAAATAATTAAACTGTTGAAATAATATACAATGATTTTTGATCTTATGGGCTTTTTAACACATTGTTTAGCTGCCCCTGAAAGTCCTGACCCAAATTCAACAACTGGACAGAAGACTGGGATCATTACTAGAATGGCCAGGTGAGAAACCTCTTGTGAAATATTAAATCATTTCAAATCTGCACAGTGTCATTTTTACACTATGTAGAATGGAATTGGAACAAATTACAGAAAGGAAAAGACAACTCTGCCTTTGAAGTGTTTGAATCTGCATAAAGTTCTGAGATTGAAAACTCAGAATAGACTTATTTTCTGCATGTTCTTCATAATGTTTTCACAGCTTGCTGTTTCCCTTCTCTCTGTTCTTCCGTAAGAGTCCTGCAAATGAAAAAATCCGAACCATAATTCCTTGACACATACAGAGAAGAATGAAAAAGCTGCTTCAGTTTTAAGCTTCAAGGTTTTTGAATAGCGCCTGGTCCGTTATTTCATTGCATTTGTGCTGTTTGTGTAATTCTTCAAAACTTGTCAGTAATGGTTTTAACTGTGTTCATTTATGCTGTATGAGTGTTTCAAATTCATACTAATATTTCAAATGGTTGCTTTGGGTGAAAATTCCTTTTGTTGCATGTCACTCTCAGTAAGCCTGAAATTACATTGTATGTTCTATTATGTGTGTTCACCTGAATAGGGTTGTTAGAACAGAGAGTTTTGTTGGCTTTTTTGTGTTTCGTGTTGTTGCAGCGTTCACTAAATTGAGTGTGTGTGTGGCAGACCACTCTCAAGAAGGTGAGGTCATCGGCCAAGGCTATACACGCCCGATCCTCTTGTCTCAAAATCCACACCTGTTTCTGACTGCCTTTGCAAATTATTACAGGATCAAAGAAGAATTAGTTGAAGCTCTCCTGTATCTGTCAAAGACTTCTAACTTTGGGTTCATGACTCAAGAAAAAGCCCAGATTTATCTCTCTTGTTTTTATTTTCAGAGTTTACGTATCACTGTAACCTGGAAACCAGTAGAGTCATGAAGAATTAGATTATTAATACATCCGCTTGCACTTTATAGCAGCTGCCAAAACAACAGGAGAGGGCATGGCCTCACGTTTTTACTTGATGAGCTGATTATATTAATATCTCGACCTTTAAACCTCAGTGTCGATTTTTTGAGAAGCTGGCCCTGTATAAATCTTAATATCTTTTTATAATTACACTCCATTCTGTGATAAAAACCCTGGAGACCTTGAAGTATGAATCATGCTGAGCGTGTGTGTTGTGGGGAGGTGGGTCGAGAGGATGTTGAATTATGTCATCCATTCCATTTCCAATGACATAATGAATTGTGCGTGTTAGAAAGTGAATGGATTAATAGTAGTTTGCTAGTATAGTCAGCACCCAGGAATGCATTGTAAAGGATTTCAATTTAGCTTTTGCACTAAAATAGCATCAGGATCAATGACCACATCAGCATCAACAACAAAGTTTACATGCACATCATTTTTTTAATGAATACTTTTATTCAGCAAAGACGAATTAAATTGATCAAAATTAGCAGTAAAGAATTACATTGTTACAAAACATTCTTAAAATAAATTATTCTTTCTATCCATCAAAAAAGGGATCATGATTTCTGCAGCACAACAGTTTTCGACTGATAAAAATAAAAGTTTCTTGAGCACTAAATCAGCTTATCAGAATGATTTCTGAAGGAACGTGTAACACTGAAGACTGAAGGAATGGCTGCTGAAAATTCAGCTTTGCCATCACAGTACTGTAATAATATTTCACAATATTACGGTTTTGTTGAATTTTGTTTAAATAGATGCAGCCTTGGTGAGCATAAAAGACCCCAAACTTTTGAACAGTATATACACTCTAAAAAATGCTGGGTTAAATACAACCCAGTGCTGGGTATGGATCATTCAGATATCAACACAGTATTAAGAATGTAAACTTTTGAACGAGGTCATTTTTATAACTATTATTTTCTCTTGTAGACTATATGTAAACATATTTTATGTGAAATATCATATTCAGGTCAGTACTAAATAAACTACAGTGTACATTCTGGTAAAGCCTTTAAAAAAGTCATTGATATTCTCCACAACTATTCGAATATTGCTCTCACTCTTAAAAATAAAGGTGCTTCACGATGCCATAGAAGAACCTTTTTGTCTAAATGGTTCTATAAAGAACTTTTAACATCTGAAGAACCTTTCTGTTTCACAAAAGGTTCTTTGTGGTGAAAGAAGGTTCTTCAGATTATAAAAAGGTAAGCAAGAGATGGTTCTTTAAAGAACCTTTGAATGGTTCTTTGTGGAACCAAAAATGGTTCTTCTATAGCATCGCTTGAAGAACCTTTTGAAGCACCATTATTTTTCAAATACTAAGTCATGACATGTTCACTCTTTGCATGCTCTTCAGGAAATAATAAGGATGCTCACCATTATTATGCTGTATTTCAAACTTGCTAATTCTCATTTATGTACTTAATAATACAGAAGAATGCAATGAAATGCAACCACAACATGGTTGGTAATTAACAGGGGTTTGGGGTATAAATAATAGTAAGTGACTTACAGTTTAGTCATAATATTATCTGATAATATTGTCTGTTTATGCTCTATGAAAAACGTTCCAAACAAAGGCACAACAGAAACTTTGCACATCTTTGAGGAACACGGTGTTTCGTTACTCAATGAATCTGCATTTTTGAAAGAATTGGTTGAGCAAAGATTCAATGTCCCATTGATCAAGACAATAACTTTGTTCCTGAATGAATACATTTTAAATTATTCAGTTGTATGTATGATTCAAAGACTCATTTGACTTATTAGGACAGTGACTGCTGCAACCTGACAGTTTTAGTTTCATAATTGAAAGTATCATTCAGCCCCCCCCCCCCATAATTTCATTTCATTTCATTTCCCGACATTTTATATTTAAAACTCATAGTATTATTTATACAGTTGTAATTAAACCGTGTAAATATCTAAATACCACCTCAGATGCAGCTTCTGCAGTGCAAAGATCATTGGAATGGTAACAGACCTGTAGTTTTTTATTATTATTATTGAATTGATTTAATGAATGTAAGAATCTGACATAAAAAATGGAACGTTTAAGGAAGAAAATTTCATCTCTTAATGGAAAGGTTCATTTCAGTCACAGTGGCTTATAAAAATCAAAAAATTTATCTCTTAACCAAAAATGTATTTCTTTAGTATTTTGACTTCTCACAACAGTGTTTAATACCACCCGACATTACCTTTGTTTAAACGTGCAAATATAAATAACTGTTTAGGTTGATGTTTTGAATAAGATGTTAACACTGTTTACACTGTAATACAGATACAGTATATGCCAGCTGTACCAACACAACAGTGTTGTGTTGATCATTGCAATTAATGGGCATGCATAATTTTCAATTTAATAGTGATCCAAAAATCCATTTGATCACTGAAATTTGTGAATATTTCAAAACAATTACACTTGTTTTTTATATTGTTTGCCATGCAGTGTGCATATTCACATATGAATTGTACCGATATTGTGCATGGATTTTCAGACCAAAAGCAGTTAATTTTGAGATGATTTGGCCCTATCGTGAATGACAAAGACCAGAGCATGAGAGATGAAATCACATTCAAAAGGTTATAAAGTTTGGCAACATAAAAAGAAATGGGATGGGAAAAGGAACAACAGCAAGTGCATTAAAACAGTGGAATAATGGCAGTGGGGAGGGTCCCGTTCTCCACATCCACATGCACGAGGACACATTGGTAAGTGGGTGTGACTATGCTGGAAGCTGAGCTCAGTTCTACCTGCACTACATATATGTGCTCTGTCAGAGAGAACTTCACACCTGCACACCTGTCTGAGGTCAAGATCTTATCTGAACACACTTTGGCTTTGAAGCAGGATCCACAGGTAAACGTTGCTTGTTTCCTTTTAAGTCTGATTATTAAATAATGTAATGTGGATGTCTTGGTGTGAGATTAAGATTTATGTAAGACTGTAATGCTGATTTCTCTATTACCTATTATTTATGCTGTGGACAAAAGTTATTTCCGAGACTTTCCCCTGAGGGGAAGTCATTCATTTAATTTATCTATCCATCCATCCGTCCATTCAACAGCAGCTAAGGCAAGCTTCACATTATTGCTCTAAACAATTCATTCTAATTTGATCTGTGTGCACTTTCATGCATGTACTTACTCAAGATTGTTGGATAGATATTTAAAATGTAGATATATGTTGCTCAAGTAAGTTTACTATGTGTGTGTGTGTGTGTTTATAATAAAGGCAAAGAAAGAAAAGAAAGTATAATCTATCAAAATAGCATTCTCCAAGTTTAATTATATATATATATATATATATATATATATATATGCCTGAACGTTGCTTTTGTTAATCAACTTTAATATTTTGCAAGAATTGATAGTGTGCGGGATTGCATCTTCAAAAAATCTTTTCAAAATAGAAAACGAAAGAAAGAAAGAAAGCGTATACATGTATATTCTGATTATATATTATATTGGACAAAAAACACATTCATAATTGTTCTGAATTGTTTTACATATAGGCTAACGCATACACGATGAACCAGAAACATCCGGTGATAATAAAATATAGTTACCAATCATAAACAAATACAAACCCGTTTACGGCATGGAAACCTTCACACACATTGTGATGAGGAAAGTGGCAGATTCACTTTCAGTTTATTTTGACAACTCCCAATAATGAACTCCCAAGACAATAGTCAGGAAAATCTGGTCAGTTCTCACAGTTAGGGAAATGATTATTGTAAAGGGCCAAATGACTTAAATGTTTATGTAAACGGTTTGAAATAATTGATTAAAGTCACGCAGCACTAAAAGATTAAAAGATGTGTCATTTACAAAGAGTGTATGAAAGCAGAATTTCTGTATTGGTGATATATTCTACATAGTGGCATTTCTTGAGTGAATTCTGATTGAACTGGCTTAAACTGCTGTAACTCTTGCAGGTTAACATCACTATGCTCCGCTGCGTAACATCTGGTCTGGCAGTGCTGATGTTGCCTATGGTTCTGTTTGTGTTGCTAATGCCTATTGGCTGGAGTTTTCAAGCCCTGACTCCTGGCTGCCACCTTTACCGTGAGTGGAAATGAGTGACCAAATTTTTATGAAGCAATCATAAACTCATTCTTATGAGAAAAGTACTAATTTACCCCTCTGTCTACACACAGCATTCAACGTGACCATACGGACAGACAAGCGAGGGACCTGTCGAGGAACTCAGCTGGTGTACGCTTGCGTGGGCTACTGTGAGTCCAGCGCTTTCCCCTCGCGCTACTCTGTGCTGCTGGCCTCCAACTTCATCCGCAACATAACGTCTGCTTCCCGCTGCTGCACCATTAGCAAGGATGCCAAGGTACAGCACTGTCACCATGGTCAAACCATTATTATATTATTAAGACCAGTTTTACATCAGAAGAACCAGTTATGAACCAGTGTGTCTAAAGACTTTAATGGTTATGGTCCTCTGTGGATTTCTGCACATAACAATTTCCACCAGTTCAGTCATGCAATAATAATCTATTCTGTTTTATTCTATTAGGTAAATCATTTCAAATACATTGTCAACATTTTTTATTAAGAAAACTGAAAGTGTATTAATGATAATATTTATTCCATCGGTCTTTTCTCAGATCAAAGTTCGTCTGCACTGTCCTCGAGGCCGTCATCATGATGATATGGAGATCTTGACAGCGCGTGCCTGTCGGTGCAACATGTGCCACAAATCCCGTTACTGAGATCCCACGTAAAGAACGCGTCACTCATGCTGTGCTGGAACACTAAGACTGGTGTGTAATTATTAAAATATGCATTTTTTTTAATGAAAATAATTTTCTGATTTTACCATTTTCATTTGACTTGTAAATAGTTTGGGCTCAGTAGGATTTTAAGAAATGAATACTTGCATTCAGCAAGGATACATTGAACTGATCAAAAGTGACAGTAAAATATTTTGCATTTTTACCAAAAAAAAAATCAAATAAATACTATTCTTTTGAACTTTCTATTTATCAAATAAAACTGGACTAAATGTATCACAATTTCCACATAAATATTAGGCAGCACAACTGTTTTCCACATTGATAATACTTCAAATACTGAAAATATTTGAGCACTAAATCAGCATATTTGAATGATTTCTGAAGGATCATGTGACACTGAAGTCTGCTGAACATTCAGCTTTGTCGTCACATAAATAAATGACATTTTAAAATAAAAATAATAAAATGGTAAATTGTAATATTTTACAGTACTACTGTTTCTACTTAATGCTGCCCTGGTGAGCTGAAGAGATTTTCTTTCAAAAACATAATTTTAAAAATCTTACCGCCCCCAAACTTTTGAATGGTATAATAAAATAATATAATCTTCTTTTCTTTTTATCTTGTATCTAAAGTTGTAAGATGACACAGTTTGAAACAGCATGAGTGAAATGTTCTCGAATGTGGTGTAAAGACAGAAAGTAAAAGACTACATAAAACAATTCAATATAAAACAATGGCAAATAGCATCAGATACTCTAATAGTTCAAATAAAAAAAATCACTTTTCTAATGTCGGTGCCACCTAATGACATAAAGAATGTATCTTACGTACTATATATTTATAAGGTGATGTTTGCATAAAATGTGTCTAATCTTTTAAAATATATAAGGAGTACATGATGTTTTCTGTGTATGTTTTATTGTTAAATCATGTTTAAGTATATGACATCTAATGCATAACAATATTCATCATTTTTTTACATAATAAGCAAAGAAGAGAATGTGTACGAATGAGTTGTGTGTATGTGCCCTTAAAAGGTTTCACACTCTGTGTGGTTTGAGGAGCAGTAGGTACAGTCACACTGTAAGGCCTGAGGGTAATAATAGATTGGGGAGACACCAGGGCGACAACCTGGTAAACGTGCTCTCAGGTGCCGTGTACGGCTGTAGGTACAGACACGGTGGTGCCTCTGGATATATGGCGGCTCCGGAACTGGCCTCTGTGATATGAAACATGCAAGAACACATATGTCACACAGAACTAAATACACAAACGTATACACCACGTGTTCTCATTTTTTTAAAACTGTTCTATAAATAAGTTTAATATAGCAGGTTTTGGTCACCTCCCAGGTGTGGCAGCGGCCCCAGCATGCCTCAGTGTTTATTCGCAGGCTCCTGCATCGTGGCTTCTTTGCCACAAAAGCAAAATCACGTAGCGCACAGCCACGAAAACACTGCAAGGTCGTCACAGCAATGGTGGAGTAAAACCCAGGAAACAGGAGCAGAAAATTCACAGCGGTCACTAAGAAGTGGTCAGGGTACATTCTGAAAGAACTTATGAATAACAATAATGTATTTCATGAATTATCATAAAAAATAATCCGATGAGTTTGCAGCTAAATCATTGCTAAAAAGTATTTTTTTTTCTTCATCTTAATTAATATATGAATTAATGGAGAATCTCTGATGGACATGATTATCAAGGATTAATTGCCTTTTTCTGGCTACCATTTTCCCTCACACACACACACACACACACACAGAGACATACATACATATATATATATATAAAAGAAGAAAATATATTCTACCAAATATTGAGTACCGGTGTTCTTGCAATTGGCCTCTGATTACATTTACATACGTGACCAGCAGACGTCGCCAGCGTCCGGTTTTCCGGGGGGTTTGAAATGCGAATCATATTCTGAAGAAATCCCAATTTCTACACACCACTCCCGTTAAATATATAAATCATAAACAAGACGTTCGTAATTGTCATCTTTTTTCGAGCGGAAGGTATGTTCCAAATTATTGTAACTGTCACGCAAATTTCATTACATAACGCACATTAGGCTACATACAGGTAATGAATACGCAAACTTGTATGGGCTAAGGATAACTTTTGTTTAACTATCAGGCAGTTATGGGGGAGAGGGGGAAAATCCAAGAATGCTTTCATTTTTTTGTTGGTTTCATTTAATGTAACAATATTTGTAAATGTAGTTTTATAATGTCAGACAGAACAGCCTTATTCATTATAGACATTTTAAATATTACCCTGTATGTATAAAATATGGTCGTTCTTTCTGAAGGGCATCAGAGGAAACTGCAACAGCTTTGGTCGTGTGACTGTTTACGCCAGCCATGATAAAATGTTCACTTGAAATCAAGATCTACACTTCCATTGACAAGACTGTTTACCGCGATAAATGACACTGAGGCGAAATCTGAATTATAAACACAAAACAGCAATAAAACAAGAAACTGGAGGAGATTAACTCACCTGTTTGACTCCACAAGCAGATGCCAGAAGCTTTTAGGAAGAAAATTAGCAAACCATGTCGTTTCACCGAATGCCTTGCTGTTTAAAAGCTGTTGCTGTTTTAATTGGACAATCTGACATCACTCTAATTACCATTCATCTAGACCGGAACATTACAACACACTATATGCAAACTTAACCAATCACGTTTTAAACATCTGCTCGTGTTTTAGGAATGAACTGAATGACTTCAGCTTCATGTCAATGATGTGATTGTGAACAACGTTTTCAGCCCGACTAAAACTAAATGGTCAGCTTTGAATCAACAACAACTTTCAGAAGTAAAAGAAAAAGGTATAAATATGTGACCCTGGACCACAAAACATCATAAATAGCATGGGCATATTTGTAGCAATAGCCAAAAATACATTGTATGGGTCAAAATTATCAACTTTTATGCCAAAAAAATCATTAGGATATTAAGTAAAGATCATGTTCCATGAAGATATTTTGTACATTTCCTACTGTAAATATTTAAAAAATGTATTTATCAAAACTAAATGGTCAGCTTTGAATCAACAACAATTTTCAGAAGTAAAAGAAAAGGTATAAATATGTGACCCTGGACCACAAAACCATCATAAATAGCATGGGCATATTTGTAGCAATAGCCAAAAATACATTGTATGGGTCACAATTATCAACTTTTATGCCAAAAAAATCATTAGGATATTAAGTAAAGATCATGTTCCATGAAGATATTTTGTACATTTCCTACTGTAAATATTTAAAAAATGTATTTATCATTAGTAACATGCATGGCTAAGAACTTCATTTGGACACCTTTAAAGGTGATTTTCTCAATATTTTGATTTTTTTTCACCCTCAGATTCCAGATTTTCAAATAGTTGTATCTCAGCCAAATATTGTCCTATCCTAACAAACCATACATCAATGGAAAGCTTATTTATTCATAAAAATTGACCCTTTTTTGGGTTTTGTGGCGTAGGGTCACATATGGTAGGCTACTAAGTGAACAAACACCCCAGATGTGTCAAAGGTTTTGAGTGAAAATAATGACAAATGTGTTCATGATGCTGAGTTTTTCAACACAAGTTTTCATGTTTACATCCCACTTTTATACATTCAGATCCCAAAGATGCTTGTCCCCCAAAAGTACATTGCTATGTTTAAACACAAGACATTGATCAAAAGGACAGTGCAACTTTAGTTTAAGTGATGCTACGTATGCGTACAATTTCAGTCCATATTTATTGCCGTGTCTAATCTATTTCATTTTTCTTTTCCATTTTTGTTCCTATGAAATGTGATGTTTCTGCAGATACCAGTTTTCTCAGAGGCCAAACAAAAAGAGTCAATCCAGGTGCTTTCTTTTGAACAAGAACAAGAGTGCTTGCTTTTCTCACCCTTTTCTCAGACAGACTACTGTAAATCAATAATCAACAGTGGCAGTTCATTTGAGCGTTGACGCACACTCAAAGTAAATGGTACATTCTGATCTAATCCGTTTTCTTCTAAACTGTAATAAACTTCTCTACAACATCCACACACACTCGCGCATCAGATTCTTCTTAAGCTTTCTCAATATGCCTACACACGCAGTTCCTTCCCATTAGCAATCCTCTAGTCTACATCAATAAATATAAGCAATAAAAAAACACAAAAATCAAGACAAAAATAAGAGACTGTCCTCTCTTGAAATTGTACTGAAATACAAAGAGAATGTTTGCAAGCAATTTGATTTTAAAAAGAAAGAAATAATAATAAAATAAATAAAAAATCACCAGACACACATTATTCAAAACAGATGACAATATTGCTAAATTAAAATATTTTGAATGTAAAAAAAATAATAAAAAAACATAAGAACAGACTAAAGTGTTGTCACTTCAGAGCAAGTTTAGTTTTACCTAGCAGCATACTTCAGTCATGTTTATGAGGTGCTACACTAGAATACCCCCACCAACACTATAATCAGACATAGATATCATATTTATAGATATATATATATATATATATATATAAAAACATCAGTTATATTAGCATAGAAGTAGTACTCATAGAATAAGCTGTAGAAGTAGGAACATTAGAATCTGTAGAATTTTCATCTTTAGGATCATCATAATTCATTCCTCTTCAGCGTTTGACAGTATGCAGAGTCTGTTGGTTGACTGACGGGGGGCTCAGATCGGGCCCAAGAGAAACAGAGGCAGTTCTGGAATGACAGTAATGAAGGATGTGTTTGATTGCGAGTGTGCGCATGTGTGTCACCCCATGCAGGTATGTTTCGCATGGTAATGTTGATGATCCCGGTTCGTGTAGGAATAGAAAGAAAAGACGCAGAGAGGCAGGTGTGTGAAAAGCGTGTATGAAGCATATGAAATAGTAGGACGCATGTGAGAAGTACTCATTTTTTTCTCTTTTATATCTCACTCGTGTGTGATGTGTGCTTCAGTGTTTTTCAGATATCTACATATGGACAGGCTGTCGTTCATGTGCTTGTGACGGTAGTGTCTGCATGATGTGCGTGTGTGTTTTCAGACCGAGATTGAGGCATTGATTGGTTCCCAAGTCAGGTAATTACTGTGTTTTACAGTGCTGAGATATTTTATGTGTGTGTGTGCGTGTGTGGTTTCTAGGTGGTGTTGGCAGCGCTGGTCTCTGACTGGCTCTTGGTTGTGTTCTCTCTCTCCTGCAGGTTCTTCTGGTTTCTGCTGGCCTCGGTCAAACTCTGCAGCCGCCTCTCCTGCAGATCCTCCAAATCTCTCCACAGCTCGACTCGCTCCCTCTCCTTCTTCAGCTCTCTGAAGGGAGGAGAGAGGTAAGGGGAGGAGTGTAAAACAGAGCATAAAAGGCTTTAGGTGAAGATGAGAGGAAGATAAAAAAGTTCAAAATAAGTGCTTTGTTCACATTTAACTTCTAAATACACATGTCCAGCCTAATTGGTCTGTTTTATTACAAAAATAAAAATATAAAATAAAAACGTTAAATAAATATAGAATAAAAATAAATAAAATTAATTTTATAACTTGCTCCAGTTTCAGACATTACTATTATTATATTATTTATTTACTTATTTAGAAACAATATTTGCACCATGGAATTGGTTTTCAGTGGCATTTTTACCTTTACCTATATTGTTTTTCTAACCATAAACAGACACCAGTGACTTTAGTGTAACTTATAGAACATTATAGTAATTATTACTATTTTTAGCTCAAATTTGTATATTTTATTATATTTTATTTTTATAATCTATTTAAAATTGTATATTAATTTTATTTAGTTAAGTAATTTTATTTGTGCATTTTTGTCATTTTTTAATTAGTTTTTTCTATTTATCTTTAATTTATTTTTATTTCAGTTTTAGTTCTAGTCATTTTTATGTTAACTTATCAGGTTTAAGTTATGTAATAACATATATAACTTAAATTAATGGTTTTAGTTATTCATGTAATATTTACATATTAAATTATATTATAGGCCTACTATATTTTATATGTATTATATATGTATTAGCATATATATATATATTATAAGATCTGGCAAAGTTTTGAGCTTGACATACTTCAAAGTGACTTTAATTCTCTTTTGATGTCACCTATCCATTTTATGTTGTTGTTGTTGTTTTTTGTTTTTTTATAAATGTTAATTTCAATTATATTTGAACTCCTTTCATCCAACAACTTTATTCTGGTATGTAATGACCACTTTTTAGGAAGCAACCTATGAAGTCTTGTCCTACACTTTTACAAGCTAAATGAGTAGTAATACTGTTCATGTTGACTTCAGCACTGTCATGTACTCACTTCTGTTTCTCCACTTTGTAGGAGGAAGTGAGATCATCAAAGAGCTTGCTGTTCATCTCCATGAACGTCTTCAGCACATTGTAAATAAGAGAGATGATCGTCCTAAAAAGACAACAGAGAAATGTCTAACAGGCCTATGCAAAAACAGTCTTAATTGATGTCAATAGCATTAACGTTATTGAAGTTTCTAGACGCATGTTAGAATGACACTGACTGGTTCCAGTGCTCTTTGGAAACTCTGTACAGCGTGCCAAAGACCAGAGGCAGGATGACCTGGCAGTTCTCCTCTATTAGACTCAGAATGTACTCATTATTCCAGAAATACAGAGCCCGCTCTGCAACCTGAGACAGAATAAAGAGACAGAATGAGGGACCTGTACACAAACAGGTGCATACATCACCTCCATGTGTTCACAAGTACTACAGGAAGACGTCTGACGAGCAGCACTGGTGAACGAAACAGTGTGGGAGGATGCTCGAGTGTGAAACAGGAAGCTGACCTGGAAATGAGGGCTGGAGATACATGCAGCAATCTGTTTGAATAGAGGCTCCTGCACACGGATAAACTGAGACGGTTCAATCACGTCCAGAATCTCCTCGATCTCCCCCAGGAACATCACCTAGGATCACATGACAGAATTATATACTGTATAAACCCATTACCAAATATTTCCAGGCAAGCACACTTGGAGTGAAGTCCATTTTCAATCAGATCTGTGAGTGGATTTCAAAAACTCTTTCAGCAAAATGTGAATTAACAAATGTGACCGTGGACCACAAAACCAGTCATAAGGGTCAATTTTTTTGATCTATGCATCATCTGAAAGCTGAATAAATGAGCTTTCCATTGATGAATGGTTTGTTAGGATAGGACAATATTTGGCCGAGATACAACTATTTGAAAATCTGGAATCTGAGGGTGCAAAAAAAAAAATCTAAATATTGAGAAAATCGCCTTTAAAGTTATCCAAATGAAGTTCTTAGCAATGAATGTTACTAATCAAAAATGAAGTTTTGATATATTTACAGTAGGAAATGTACAAAATATCTTTATGGAACATGATCTTTAATTAATGTCCTAATGATTTTTGGCATAAAAGAAAATCAATAATTTTGACCCATACAATGTATTTTTGGCTATTGCTACAAATATACCCCAGCGACTTAAGACTGGTTTTGTGGTCCAGGGTCACAAATGTCATAATTCATCAGCAGCTATTAACAGCATTAACAAACAACACAACCTTCAGCGTCTGCTTAAAATTTCTCAACATAAATTAAATAATCTCAACATGTCAAACATTGGTCTGTTACATATACAGTATTAGTCTGTCACTAGTAATTATCACTAACCTGGTTTCTATTCACACATTTATGTTTTTTTGTTTTTGTTTTTTAAACGTGCAACTTGGAAGAAAACATAGCCATTACCTGAGACAGGGCTTCCCAAACAGGTGTTCTATAATTATATAGAATGTAAAATTATAATAAATAAATGGGGCTGCAATAATTGTGATATAGCTTAGTGTGATTATCAATTCAAAGGCTGCATGACTGGTCTGATGCACTGCGTGTTTAAAAATTATTCATTATTATAATTATCAAATATTCATTTTATATTTTACAGTATAAGTGTAATTAGATAAAACACTGATAAAAATGATTTTTATCAGCATCAGAGAACTGTGAACATGCAAATGTGTTATAAATATTTGAAATATTTACTTAAAATCTCAGGGGGCACTTCAAGTGAATCTTTTTTGTCTAAGGGGTTCGGCTGACAAAAAAGTTTGGGAACCCTTGTCTGAGAGGTAAAACTTTATGTATGCAATGCTTTTCTCACCTCTTTCTGAGTGCATGTTTTGGGCCAGTATCTCAGCAGCCCCCTGATGATCTAATGAAGGACAGAAAACAGACAAATGAATAAGACAATTATCTTTTTTGGTGTGACAGCACAGATATAATGGTATTAGTAGCAATTCTGGTATGTATATGAAGTTGCATGACATAATTAAATTAGGCTTACATGTTCTGTAACTGTGGCATCCTTCTCCATGAATTGCACCACACAGTAAGCCAGCTACATGAAAAGAGCACAAAAAAGATTTTAATAAAGTCACTTACAGGCTTTTTACACACTATAGATGTCACTTCAAAGGCTTATTGATTTTAGCTGCAAGTGCTTCTGATTAAAGGGTATGAGTGTGTGTGTGTGTGTGTGTGTGTGTGTGT